CTCACGTGAGTGATACAATGATCGTCTCAATTATTGCTATTTCGAGAGTATAGATGTTCAGAAAGTGCAAACTTTTTGCTTCGACCATTAACGGGAAACTAAAATCAGATGCAGAATGAAAATCCTGATTACTTCTATCTCCGTTCACTTGCATATTGGCTGAGGTTAGAGCGCTTGATGATCCTACGCCACCACCTTGAGCAGTCATTGTTGACTGACCATCCGTTCCGTTTGCGGTCATCGTGAAATGTGAACTGCCCTTTAAGCTACTCGTTTCCGCATGCGCCACTCCAGATGTACCACCGGAGGCAGCTGATTTTTGAAAGAAAAACCGATGCGAGTATGTTTAAGAATTCATCATCCTCAACAACTATCATAACAACATTATATATGAAGTCGAAAATAAACTTTTCAGACATTCAAAGAGATTCATTTGTCATATCTCGAGTGCACTTCAGAAATCCATGATCATTTGCAATGCGAACTAATCATAACATTATTGAACTAACTGAAATTTTCACATCCTACAGTTAGAATGGCCAAGATCAAATGCTACTTGGATCAGCAAGGAATAAAACCATGATTTTAAAAACATATTATTCATAGTTGAATGAGAGTTGTTTCAACGTATTATAGTTATTCCCAACGATTTCATCTAGGAACGTTAAATACTCTAGAAAATTCTCACTATTATTGACGCCATTCGGATTCGACAACTGTCCATTAGTATCGATATTGATTGCGTATGTCTTATTATGGCCAGTGGCATCACCTTTGCCACTGACCTGAACTGATGCTTGACCGTTATTGTTGTAGACGGTATTCGTATTCAGTGAGGTGTTCGATGCACTGCTACCTGTACCTTGCACTTGGCCACTACCCATCGCAACTGCAGTATTGCAATGTTATTAATGTTTCGCTAATTATGAACGCTACCTTTGCCTAACTGAACCGACTCCATTTCTGGTCATGTCAAAAGCACTCTCTCACTGAATCGATGAAAATAGAACTGATAGGTATTGTTCATTACCCCAATAAAATCATTACTGTAAATCTGTCAGGGTAAACAATGACGATACGTGAGGCGATTTGTAGAAGAAGTTCATTCAAAGGTTGACAGTTGCCCCATCATGCCGAGCCGATTTCAATCAAACGCAACTCACTTGTATCGCCGTTTTTGTTGTTCACTTGCAGTCCAT